GTTTTCTGATGTTACACTTCTTGCTTTCTTTTTATAAAACTTTTCTCAAATTTAACCCTACAAAAACATGATTTCTAGCAAAAACCCATAGGACCCAGAAAAAAATATTATTTAAAGTATAGGAACCGAAAATGTATTATTAAGACAAAAAATGTTTGTATTATGTAATTATAACTATTTAAACAACTATGTTTTAATTAAATGAATAATTATACAAACAACGCAAGAAGTTTTTCTTGAAAAACAGGGTCAAACCGAGTCAGTTAGTTTATATAGTTTTCTCTTTGCTAAAACATCTTCAAGCAGTTATTGATAAAAATATTGGGTTGACAAATAAATCATTTCGGGTTTTCAAGGTTAAATAAAGGTCAATGTATTGTAGAAATAAAATTTATTTCAATCTACAATATATTGACCATTACTTAATATGACTTTTTCCCATCTTTCCACTAACTGCATAATGCCATTTTCATAGAATGTCTGGAGTTTATTGTTAAAAACTGATTCAAGTGGTTTTTGATGTCCTCTTCCTTTTGGAATTTATTTCCATTGATGGAGTTTTGCAGAGACCGGTCCCATTCAAGGCTCAGTAATATATTGAGAGTGACCAATGAGGTGTGGTGCTTAGCGTTGTTTTGGTGTAACAAAAAACCCTTCCGATCGTTCATAACTCTTCAGGATGTTCTCCAAATTCGATGTTGCTATATCATTTGGAAAGCTGAATTATTGCTCTTCAAAGCCGTATGAATTGTTTCTTGATTTAATGCCTACATTAGGAATAAATAAACAAAAGCTTCTTAAAGGTTTTTACTTTTTATCTGCATCTGTAGTTTGTTTACGAATGTCCTGTTGATGTCATTTGGTGGAGTTTATGTGACCCTAAAATCCTGCCTTATTTCTTGTAGATAGCTAAAGTCGTATTGAATTTATAACATTTTTTGTGATTTTCGAAAAAAAAAATTCATGAGAGGGACACAAACATTAAGCCTGGGAACAAAGCCTGCGCTTGCGTGAGACACATTTAAAGTCATAGCAATCTCTCGCACTGATTGGGTGGGATTTTGATCAACAATGGAGTTAACATTGTTCGTTTTAATTTCATGTGGATGAACAGACTGTTGAGCATCATTTATGTCAAAATTTCTTGAATGAAATTTGGCAAACCAATTTTGACAGGTTCTTTTCGTTAAGGTATGATCTCCATACACACTGCAATACTTTCTATGAGCTTCTGCAGCACGCTCACCTTTTTTAAAATAATTCAACAAAATATGCCGACAATGAATGATATTTTCTTCCATATTTACAGTGCAATAGCAAACACAATACTAAGCTAGTCAATAAGAGTTAACAGATATAGTTGTTGACATATTACAAACAGGATAAACAATCCAACTTAGGGATTAATTCATCAGATAAGAAGTGTATCAAAGTGACATAAAAATAAATAGAAAAACCGAAAGGATTTATTTTCCAACCCAATACATTTAATACAAAGCACTGATTGCTAGAATTATTATCCGAAAATGTGTTTAATTCTTAGCTTCTTTAAGAACATGTGCTTAATTCTTAGTGGCTTAGTTGGTAGTGTTTAGTTTAATAGCTGTATAAATAAAAGAATATTCCATAAAAAAAAAGTTGTGTTATCATATTTCATTCCAATTTTAATTTAAAGGCAACATTTTTCACGTTCGGTTACTTTTAACTGCCACAGTACGTGGTCCCAATGGAAAATCTTTCTGCAAGCCTTATCATTATGTCACTACGTCTTACTGTCGTCCTTGTTCTGCTTTATCAGGATAGTCTGTTTAATATTACTAATAGGTTGAGTAAGAGAACCTGGTGGGGAGTTCCAGTCATTGAAGTACTTCTGAAACTCAAGTTTTTCTTTTTATGTTTCATTTTTAAATTGTTAATTCCTAACTTAATATCTGTTTGAATAAAAGAAAATTCCATCAAAAAAAATTTTTAATCATATTTCATTCCAATTTTAATTTAAAGCAAAATTTGGCTTGGTCAATTACTGTGGCTGATATATGTTTAACATGAATATATATACAGGGTGTTTCAGGGTTAAGTGGGCAAACTTCAAAAATGAACTAAGAATTTCAAAACATGAAATAAATTTCCTCTGAAGGTATGCCCGCAAACGCTTTGTTTAGGAGATAGACACATGTAAAGATTTTCGTTGTTATAAATTATTTAGGTTATATGAAATAAATAAAACCTATTTATTTGTTCTAACTACTTGATTAATTAAATGTAAACATTGGCATTCATATTAAATGTTGTTCAAATTGAAGGTATGTCAGCAAACGCTTTGTTAATTATCCAAATCAATGGATTGGCCGTGCAGAACCAGTGGCTTGGCCTGCACGTTCTCCAGACCTGACACCACTGTATTTTTTTGTTTGGGGTGACATTAAACAAAAAGTCTATGCAAGTCCGGTCAATGACCTTAATTCCTTATGAAGAAGCATAATTGAATATTGTGAAACAATATCACATATTCTGCCACTGCTGCTATTGAAGAAAGATGTCAAGCCTGTCTTAATGCTCAAGGAAATCACTTTGAACAATATATATATATTAATGTTTACGTTTAATTAATAAAGTAGTTGAAACGAATGAATAAGTTTTATTTACTTAATATAACATAAATAATTCATAACAATGAAAATCCTAAACAAAGCATACCTTGTCTCCAACAAGCACATACCTTCACAGGAATTTTTTTTCTTGTTTTAAGATCCTTAGTTCATATTTTCAATTTGGCCACTTAACCCTGAAACAACCTGTATATACAGTGAAATTGATACACCCCGTAGACAAATTAAAAAAAGACTTCAATGGTGTTCCAGTAAACAAATAAAACACGAAACTCTTCTACAGATTTGTTTATAATATCATTTTAAATATCTTCAAACTCAATAAAATTAAATAAAATATTCAACTGTGATTTTTTTTTTAATAGTAAAAAAACCTGGATACTTTTTCCTCACAATCAAAATTATACACCTCAATTCTTATTCACTTTTAAATACTATTAATTTAGTTCATCACTTTGTAGGCAAACCATTATTTTCTACCAACTCTTTCAGTCTTTGTAATGGAGCCGACCAATTTTTCGGTGATTCCAGACTTAGTCTGTTCCATTCTTCGAGAAGATATTTTTTTTAAGTCTTCTTTGCTAGAAATTTAGTGTTTTCTAATTTCTACTCAAGTGTTCTATCACCTATGGTCACGGGCGGATCTACGGGGGAGGGGAGCTTTCGGGGTGGAGCCCTCTCCCCCCCCCCCCAAAATGGTAAAATATAATCGTGTTTAACAGAAAAAAATATTAAAAACTACCTCTTAAAGTATTCTTGTTCGTTTAATTACATTAAATAGGACTTCAAGAACCACTTAAACACCATTTCATATAGGTAGTTAATTACTTTGTTTTTTTTCAAATTAATTATCGATATATGTATATGAAAAAAAAATCTTTCGGCCTGAAGCCTCCCCTCCCCCAAAAATAAATCCTGGATCCGCTACTGTCTATGGTGACTGTGGTGATGTTTTATAACTTTGGAGCAGTTATAAACTAGCCATATCTTAACTGACATGGTAGTATTCGAGGTCATTATCCTGATAAAACCAAAATTAGTTTTTTAGTCCAAATTTTCAACAATTTCTTCCCAAAATGTCTATGTAAACATGTTTATTCATTATACCATGTGAATATTTACATTATAAAGTGTAGATTTTCTACACTAGAAGCCGCCATACATGCCCACACCAAGAGACGTAACATAACTTAAGACCAAGAAAAAGAATATTTAAATTATATTTTACTGTGATGTTTATTGAGAATAATAAATCATTATTTTTATTGTAATATAAATTGAACTATTTATTTATTCTATAATTTCTATCAATATCTAGGTGTATTATTTTGACTGTGAGCCACTGTATGTAATATATGTATGTATATGTGGTCACTAGCGGATTCAGGATTAAATTTTGGGGGGCTTCAGCCCGAAAGCTTTTTTTTTTTCATAAAATAACGATAATTACTTTGAAAAAAACAAAAGAAACTAACTACCTCTTTGATATGGTGTTTAAGTGATTCCTGAAGTCCTTTTAAATGTAATACTTTAAGAGATTATTTTTTTCTATAAAACATGGTTATAATTTACCATTTTTAGGGGGGGGGAGAGCGTTTCAGCCCGAAAGTCCCCTTTCCCCTTTAGATCCGTCCGTGTACGTGGTCCCAATGGAAAATCTTTCTGCTTGCTTCATATAATTCTGCTACTACGTCTTAACGTTGACCTTGATCTGCTTTAAAATTCACCTTTCACGATCAATATTAGAGAATCAATAATATTGAAGCTATATTACTGAATATGGTTTACATTTTACAACTGTCAATATGATTGTCACAATACATCCCTCATACCGTCAATATATTCGATATTGATTCAATAATATTGTACGTGTAAGTGCTCCTTAAGAGAATAGTTATTTAATATTAAAACTCCAGTAAAAGAAGTTTGCTTGGTTTGCAGTCAGTGGAGTACTCTAAAAAATTGTTTATTTACTTTGAAGCCATATACACAATAACTTTAAATTGATTTTGTTATATAATTTTAATGAAAATAAAGACCCAAGCAGGATATTGCAAATTTTCTATAAAACTTACTTAAAACTTTTATTAAACTCCTTTAAGAATAATTATAATTTTTTTTTTTATTTGGATATCGCTGTACCCTTCCCTCTTCTGTTTCTATGTCATTGCAGATATATTTGCATTTCTTTGAGGAATATTTATTTGATTAAAAGGATTAATGAATTTATATTTTAAAAAATAAGACAAAGACATAAATTTATCATAGTAGAGTATTTGTATTTGAATGTGATCATTGCAATGTAAACAATAGGATCAAAGTGTTACAACTATCGATATAGCGCACCCCATATCGACTCCCCTTATCTACGTCACTCCTCCAACGATTTATGATCTGGTGTTGCTCAGTCTGCATCAAGAAGTCTGAATGACTAGTCGTTCTGCATTTAAAGTTTTTCTATCTTCTATCAAACTTAACTTTTCTGTTTTGAGAACATCCTCATTGGAAAACCAGATGAAACTTTCAATCCCTAGCATTACAAGCATGGGTCTTAAAGAGAAAGTAAGTTTCACAGCTTCCCTACAACATACTTTGCAATATGAAGTTTCATAGAAATGAATATATTTCCATAATTGTTACGACTGTTATATCAATTATATGAAACAAAGAATGTTTTTGAGTGAATAATTATTTATTTGACTGTGTAGAATTCTTTTTTTTTTTTAACTTGGAACATTATTTTATTGATTACTTTTAAATATTTGTTGTACGTCTGACCTTTTACACTAATATAATTTTTGAGTAAGATTGCCTTTTGAGTCAGGTCTGGACAAAGTAAATATTGTTATCTGTACTGGTTGGAATGTGGAAAAATCCTTTACAATGGTTCAAGGACATTGTTATGGCGGTTGTTACTTTGTTTTGGTTCTAGTTTAAAGTTGTATTCATTAATTTATTTTTTTCAGATGATAAACGGTGATGTTGATGAAGTTGCTGAAACTGCAGCAAGTATTTGCCGTGGTTATCTGAATGGTGCATGGAAAAAAATTACTTCTGGGGATGTTACAGTTAAGAAGCTTTGGTAAGAATTTTCGATAATATCTTTAGTTTTAAATATTTCATCCTTTTTTTTTTTTTACTTATTACTTATGAAGTTAATTAATATTAAATTTGTTTTGTTTAAATATTTTTTTTTTAAATTTATAATATGTATTAATACGTACACTTTCATGTATTATATTCGTCACTGAACTTTTCTGTATATAATCTATTATTGTAAATGAAACTGTTGAAAAATCAGATTTTTATATAATTTTATCAATATATTTTTAAAAAAAGGACATCTCATATATTTCTGTACGCCATTGATTTTATTCTTCTTAAGACTTTTATTTTTTCCATATTGATATCTTCATATGGGTGTGGTCATGAATAGAATTTGACTATTTATAGGATTCATAAATATGGATCGAATTTCACTTTTTTTTTTCTTTTTTGATATCTGATGTCATAATATTAAAAAATAATTATATTTTTTGCTACTATTACTTTTCTAAATTATAAAATTCATGAATAATTTTTTATTTACATATTGAAGGATAATTAAAACTTTGGTATTCTGTATTATATCATGTAATTAATTAGAGGAGAGCTGAGATATTTTTTCTCTTACTTTTAGTACTGATTGTATCAAATTTGGCATTGATGCAATGAGATTTTGAATTAGAATTAACTCATGGCATTTACCATCCAAACAAAAGATTTTCCAAGTGATTTCTCTAAAGTCAAGCTTTATTTTCATTAACAACTAATCTGAAAAAAAAATCAACTGGATTCAAATCTGTACTGCACAATAGATCAACTGGGTCATTCCATGTCAATTCAACAAATAATGTGAACCTCGCCATCTCAGATTTTCTTGAAATTCGGTACAGTTGTACCACTTGTAGAAACGTGTAAAATTGTGATATTTTACCGATACAAGTCGACTCTGTAATTAGATAGCTGTAAAAATACACAAAGGAACTCAAAAATAAAAAAGTACAAGATTAAGAATATGCCGTAGAAGCAATTTGCAGAGGTCTGAGATTGATATCATTTTACAGCATATTAAATTTTCTTTCTTATGATATAGAACACTGTGCAGGTTAATAAAAGAACATATTATTCAAAATATAATTTCAATTAAAAATTAAAATTTCAACAGTTTCTGAGTGTACATATTTTAAAATTTCCTATTTTAAAATATGAATAGATAATGTTTTGGTGAATCATAGGGCAAAATGTGGGATGACAATGGCTTTATCGCTATAAAATTTGAAGATTAATATTCGTTTTCCATAAATTTAACTCTATTCATATTATTTATTACAATAATGCTTTTATGCTTACATTTTCCTGAAAACAAACCAGAATAACTCTTCAATTAATAAATCCAAAGTTAAATTTATTGTATCAAGTAACAGGATATGTGTTATCCGTCTATCCAGTTTGATTTGATTGCTGGTTTGTCTCATCCATTAAATCTATGATTTTTTTTCTATTTTTGAATATTTTCTGCTGCTAGTTAAGTGAAGTCATCTGAATAGGCAAAACATTTGATCTTGAGACATGTATATAAGCTTATCACCTTAGAGTAATAACAATTAAATAGTGAGAAAGAAGTTTTTTGAGGTATATTTAAAATTTGGAGGGTTTCCATTGTATTGGTATAGATCCATGCTTCGGGCTCACTACCACATAAGCTGTTAAGGGTCAATCACATTTTAATTATTACAGTCGTTTTCTTTGGCCTTGAAACATTACATTTTATCTTATGCTATCTCTTGTGTTTTTTGGAAAATCTAATCTCGATGACTCAAGGGTTACTCAAATTATTAATTAAAATTACTATGTCATAAAATAAATCTTATAATATTTAACTACATTATAAAATGAAATGAAAATATATTTTATTATTCTGGGACTGTTGTCCCTTTAGAGCAAATTATAAGTACAGAATGCATGTCTGTGTGGTTTAAAAGTAAAAAATACAGAAGAAGAGAGAGAAAAAGACAAGAAAAGCGTACATATATACATATAAGACAAACAAAGCAAACTAAAATAACATAAATGGTCTCCAGGAGTACTTAGATAGTTCTTTTAGGTATATTTCGTAATCAGTAGAATTGAGAAAGGAGTATGTGTTTTAAGAGATAAGATTTGAAAGAGGAAACTGATTAAGCATGTCGAATATCAGCAGGGATGGAATTCCAAAGGGTGGCGGCTTGAATTTCAAAGCATTTCAGTGAGGAGGAGGATAGAGGTCGGAAGTTTGTGGGACGGGATTGGATAGAGTATTTAAATTGTAAGCTGTGAAAAATATAGGTACTTCAACTCATGGTAATATGGGTATCTCTTGAGATTCTGAAAACAAAACGTGATGAGCAATTCATTAGGTGTATAAGTTTGGCTTCGAAATTTATTATGGATAGATAATGAACATTTTGCTGAGATAATAAAAGATGACTAAGTAAAGGGAGAGAAAAATTCAGAGAAGAATTTATGGCTTCAGCAAAGAAAGAAGTAATTATCGTATAAAAAGCCGTGTATATCAGACTGATCAAAAAATACTCCCAAAACAAATAATGTAGTCATGGGTGATATAGAGGCAGACCTAAGGTGTGAGATATTGGAAAAAGTAGTAGAGGATTAGTCTGAGATGAGGAGGCCAAGGTCATTTATGGACCAAACGCAGAAGAAAAAAAAAAAATTAACCTTTTATCCTCAGCCCTAAATTTTTTGTTCTTTGTTTAGATTTAACAAAAGTCCATTTTCATGATTAAAATTGAAGAACTAACGACATGTACGTGGACAGAAAATGAAGTATTTTAAGAAAATGAGTTATTTATGCAAAATCATTTTTCACCTCTTAATAACTATATGTGGTGTTTGTGCACATATTAACATATAGAAAAATTTTGCAACAAATCATATTAATGCTCCAAAGACATTTCTCCTATTTTTGAAAATGATAAGTCACGTACAAAAATGGCAGACTGTAGATATTAGGAAGAAATTATTTTATCTTAGGTAATAAATAATTTGCCTCATGATAACTGTGATAATTTTTATTTAGGTATTAGTAATCCTGATAAACACTATCAACTTTCAAATCTTGTTTTATCAAGTACAGAACCCGTGAGTTCAATAAAGAATAATTTTGGAATTGTCATATTGTTGCAGCAAAATATTAATGATTCATGAACAACAAAACTAACGTTAAATTTTTTTATATTTTTTTTTAATAAAACAGTGCAATTTTCTCATTATAATTTTTAATACAAGTAATAAATTGTACATTTAATCTCATTTGCATTAATTTTTGCATGTCATACTCATTTCACCTCATTATATACCTATATTTGTATTGGTAAATATTAATTTCAACTTTGTAAGGAAACGAATTATGAATATTAATAATTGATGAATGATGTTTACTCCTAGTGTTGCCCAAATGCGGGACTATGACGAGTCTTGGTCTTGTGCACTCGATCTTGGTCTTTCGCACTCGGTCTTGGTCTTGAGCAACAGTCTTGCAGTTTACTATACAGATATTACTGTAATTTTTCAGATAGGGGGAACCTAACTAAGTTTAAATGAAAAATTCGAAGAGTTAAATGCAAAAGTATATTGATTCTACCAATTTTTTACATATAATAAATCAAATTGTCAAGTTTTAGTAACTACTTTGTCTTATTTGCCTTAATTTTTATTCACAAAAACGGTTTTTTTTTTATCAGTCTTGGTCTTGCGCTTTGCTAGACCAAGACCAATTTTGGGCAACACTATTTAGTCTTACGTTTTGAACTGGTGAAATTTGAGTATCTTTTAGTTAAATTAGATCTATTTCGATGGACAAAACTGTTCTATATATGAAGTTTAAATTTCAAAATTTGCATTGCTTGAAAATTTAAATTGAATACTTAATAGTTGACCGTTGTATTATTAAGTAAGGATATGGTCGGCGGTCTTAAATAGACTTAACAGTGGCAAGACTATTTTATTAAAAGCCAACGTTTCGACCCGACTTGGCAGATCTTCAGGGAGGTGTGTTCAGCAAGTTCTAAGTGAAACTCCTTGCTGAACACACCTCCACCTGAACGAACACAGTAAACGTTGGCTTTTAATAAAATAGTTTTGTCACTATTTAGTCTATTTATGACTGCCAACCATCTCCTGAAAATATAAATATTGTACTTTGTGTGAAGCAGCTGTTAATTTTTCATTAGCTGTAATATTTTCTGGTACTACTAAGAACCCATAAATTTTTTCCATTAAACATACAGTAAAATTGAAATGTCAAAGAAGTGCAGTTTATAAAGAAAGCTGGGAGACATACATAGAGATGTCGATGTACGTAGAGTAATAGATGTAGACATACGTGGGAATAAATTTTAAGATAATATTAAGTAAAGTCTCTCCCAACATCCATTCCTCCAATTCACTACCATTTTTTATTAATAGATTTGTACAAAGAAGTAGATATTGATGAAAAATCTGAGCTAATTTAGTAAAAAAAATATCTTGTAAACTTTAATTATAATTTTTAATGTTATCCGTAATTGTAGATTATGTAATTTTAATTTTCGAATCAGAACAGTTTCTATCTTTAGAATCATTTAGCATTACTTCTCAAATCAAGATTTCTTTTTGCGCAAAAAAGTGACAGGCCAGAAAATTTGTGAATTTTCAATTAAAGTTATTTTATTCAATTTTCAAATTACATCGAAACTTAAATACAAACAAACTAACATATTTTGAAATGTAACCCATTACCTAAAATATCATGGAATATGAACTGTATAAGAATTATAATTTTTTTCAAAAGTTAGAAATTACCATACTGAAAAATTTGTATAATGATTAATTTTGTATAATAAACTTTTTGTAATTAATTTTAGTTACTAATAAGGTATTTTTGAAAGAGATTAACTCAAATCGCATGGTTGTTAAAGTACAAAATATTACCGTACTAATGCTTGTTATTTTATGTTTTCACTTATAATAATTTACATTAATCTAGTAATCTTATTTATGTATCTATTGTTTAATTATTTTCAATTCTATTAAACTTCCTTTGATTGATATATTTATATGTAAATGATAATTTTCTGTTTCAGCGGGGGTTTGAGTAACTGGCTTTACATTGTAAGCTTACAAAAAGAAGCAGTTTCTCCTAAACATGTTCTTCTTCGACTTTACGGGCAAACGCACTGTGAAGACGCTTTAGAATCGGTGATTACAGAATCTGTTATATTCACACTTCTCTCCGAAAGAAAACTTGGCCCAAGACTATACGGAGTGTTTCCAGGTGGAAGGATAGAAGAATATATCCAGGTAAAGACAATGTTACCGTTACTTTTCTCATATTTCCAATTTATGCTGGAATTTGTCACCTCTTGAAATTTCCTTTCTTTTAACATCTCGTTTCTCAAAATCCATCCCAAAAATGGGATTTATTCAACTATGTTATTTATATAGAATGAAAGAAACTTATTGTAAAAAGAGTTTAGCCGAATAAAGACATGAATATCATTTATAACGACCTTCAAGAGATTATGAAAATTCCATTGTTATAGCCAATCATCGATTTAAAAGCATATTTTTATAATGACCACGCTCGTTCATCTGAGGTTATCAATAATGGCTGTGGTCTTCTGAGTGAAGAAATGAAAAATTTAATCATAATGGACTTAAGCAATGCATTATTTGACAAGATAAAAGTAAAAAAATACAGTCGAATGAAAAAAACTCTTAGTGAGATTAATTATTACAATCAGGACAGAAAATTCTTGAAGATCTTTAAATTTGCATTTTGTCATTTGTCTTTCTCAATTTCCTTTTAGCTCCCATGGAAATAACTTAAGCCTTGTTAGTTCAGTAGTTTTTTGTGTCTCCTCTAAAATTATATAAATTAATATCGATGAACTTAAAATTTTCAAGAAATATTATGTGTACACAGAGCAAGGATGAAATAATTGATTTCCTTGAAAAGTGGTGTTGACACAAAGGAATTTGGAGTTCATCTATATCTAATAATGTTGTCTTTAAAAAATCATAAGAAATCGAGTAGGTTACAATACCATTTTGAATCACCATACTAGACATTTTCGTCGATATAGCCGATACATCGTTACGACTGATGTCTTCATAAACAATATCCAGTTTTTTTTTTAAATTATTTCTTAATGATATTTACAACTGTATTATATAAATACATCTAGTAAATTTGAACATATGGATATAATGACATGAAAACACTTGCTAAGTAACTACCCAATGGTAGCACTCTAATGATATGTCTCCATAGGAGATCACGGGACCATCTTTTTTTCAGACGCCTCAGAGGGTTATTAGGAATTGAAGAGGAAGCAAGGTTAGAAACGAGAGGGTTGGGATGATTTTGAAGTTTATTATGGAAGGATAGGTATCTCCTGGTGGTCCAGGATAGGATAGGTGGTCCAGATCTGAAACAAAGGAACATTAAGGTCATTGTGGATGGTTTTATTTGTAACAAAGTAGGGCGCATTGAGAATTTTACGAAGGATTTTTGATTGTAAGGATTGGATATGAGAGGAATTTGATGGTTTAGTGGAGCCCCATAGCTCAACTCCGTAAGTCCAAATAGGCCTTATTATAGTCATGTATATGAGTCTTTTGTAATTAATTAGAAGTTTAGAGCGTTTGTCTAGTAAGTGCTGTAGTAATCGGAATCATCGAGCGGTTTCTTGTCGTTTCAGTCTATATCCAGTTTAAATGGAATGTCAATAGAAAATGTATTTTTTAGCTTAATTTTATTTTTTATTTTGGTTTGTTATTGCATGTGTTGTAAAAGTTATGCTGTTTAGGACTTTTTATTTATAAAATTGGTATCCGCCGTAACTTAGTGATATATTTCAGGCTCGCCCTCTAAAGCAACATGAAATGTCAGATCCAGATATCAGCCTCCTCGTCGCTGAAAAAATGGCTGCAGTGCATGTCATGAACGTGCCCATAAATAAGGAACCAAGGTGGATGTGGGATACAATTAATAAGTAATTCATTATTTTTATTTTTTTTTTTTAACTATGTAACTCATTACGATGCTATTTATCAAAATTTTATTTTTGTCTTAGGTGGCTTGATAGTCTAAATGAAATTGCTCATGACGAACTGATCGGGGGAATTTATTCTGTTAAGCAGTTAAGAAGTGAAGTCGAATGGTTAAGGTAACAATACTTATAATATAATAGACATACGAGTTGGTTGGGGGTATTATCTGAGATGAAATTACACACAAATAAGAATTGTTATTTTATTATGTGCCAACATTTCGGGATTAGTTCTAGGCCTTCATCGGGTTAAATGTAAAACAAGATGAGAAAGATTGAGGGTTACAATATAACTCTTTTTATATAACAATATATCATCGCTTTTTATTTATTTTTACTACTAGGTAAGTCAAGTATTGCGATCGGATTACATTTCTGATGTACCGTTTTTAATGAAACTTTACGTTTCGAAGCCCCCTGAGTCTGAAAAACACATTTGGACCATTGGTCTGTTTGTCTGTGCCAAAATTATCTCGGGAATGAGAAGACCAATTTTGTTGCTTATTTTTTTGTGACTATAGCGCTAAAATAGCTCTTACAATATTGATGAAATTTTCCTCCAATAATTGAAGTCTTTTTAATTTTAGTAGATGTAGTGAATTTCAAAGAAAATCCATAAAAAAATGTTACAAATAAAAGAAAAATATTTTGGGGACTCGCATATGTACATTCTAGAGTAAAATTTATATAGTATCTTTTGAAAGGTAATTAAATTCCATTAAAAAAAAAAATCATTGAAATCAAACTAGTGTTAGCAATGATACAGCATTTTCTATTTTATTTTATTACTTTCCTACTGATAATAGGTTAGGAAAGTAATGCGATCTGGTCACATTTCCGATGTGCAGTTTTCAATGGATCTTTATGTTTCAGAGCCCATTGAGTTCCAAAAACATTTTCAAAAGTTTATTAAATTTCTGACAAAACTTTTTAAAAAAAATTGTCTTAATAGAACTAGTTTTAGCTTTGTTACATTGTATTGAAAAGGGATAAAAAGAATGCGGTATAACAGGATAAAGATATCAGTATAAAGAAATGAAGATAAAAGGATCTGAAATTATGGTTTTAATAAGTATTTATGTGTAAATTATAAGTTGCACTGTTCTTTTCTTTAAAATGTATCCTCAATCTTTCTATTTGGTCATTACCTAGTTTTTCTTTAGCCTTTATATGTGCCTAAAACTTAGTATTTGAATGAATGGCTTGTTATATACAGTCTCTGGTAAATGTAGTTAAAAAGTTTAGGTAAAGTTAGGCACCTGGGAGATTTTCACAGGTATACTGTTGATATATATTTTTATTATTATTTTAATTTTTTTATTGAAAAAGATACTTAAAAACTTTTTTTGCTTTTAGGCAGCATCTGTCAAAGATATATTCTCCAGTAGTTTTCTGCCACAATGACTTACAGCAAGGAAACATTCTCTTGCGCGAAGACACGTCTGATCCGAGCATAGTATTCATCGATTATGAATACTGTTCCTATAATTATCGTGGTTTCGATTTGGCAAATCATTTTATGGAATGGCGTTATGATTATAACCTCCCAGAATGTCCTCACTTTTCCGTCAACAAGAACAACTACCCTTCGCACACGCAAATGGTAAGTTTTGTCTGTTCCTTCGCTCACTGCAAGCAAGGACATTATGTTTTTGCTTCTATTCTTGATTATCCCGTAAGTAAGAATTTATTTTATAATTTTATCATGATTTATTGATTCACTTTTGTAATAAAATACATTATAAATGAGGTTTGTATAACAGTTATTTTTATACAGTTTTTTTGTATCTATTTTTGTTGTATAGGACAGTCCTGATATAAAAATCATTTTTTAAAATTTAGTGAAACCATGCATAAACCTGCTGGTTTCTATATATATTTTTAATTTTTTGTTTGTTTAAAATAATGATAGGAAACTTTTAGAATCAGTGATTTTAGAGATAATAATCTATATAGCATTTCTTATGTCATCTTTCTTCATTTCTCCATCCATTCAAATCCATTTCTCATTATTTTTTTAGACTTCTAAACTGTTTAATCATTATGATTCAATCAATACATCTTATATGAAAAAATAATTGATTGAAAGCGTGATTTCCTTCATTATGAATTGTATCATATTCGTTTCTCGCTGAAGTATTATATTTAGCAATATTTTGATCTATACTTCTTAATATTTACTACTTAATACTTCATTTCATACCATTGTTAATTATAATAAAAATCATTTATATATCATATTTCAAAAGATAGAAAATGAAAAGAAAAAAGTTATTCCTTTCCTGTATTATGGCAATCATAATATGTTGATACAAATTTAAAAATGTTTTAATTAACTAGTTCAATTATGGTTTTCCTATTTGTATTTTATAAATTAAAATTTTATATTCATTATTTTGGCAATTGAAAGTATTTTAAGTAATAAGAAAGATACAAATTCTAAAGGGGTACATACACGTTAAGACTTGTACAATTTGCTTCAATTGAAGATTATATATCTTGTTTAAATGTTGGGTTGTCTCGAAAATAATGCAGCATTCTGGTTTAACAAAAAAAAGTAAGATTTACAACTGTTTTATTTAATCAAAATAGTCTCCATTTCTATCAATACATTTCTTTTCCATTCCCTCGGAAAGAACCTCCCATCTTTAGAATTTATAAGCTCCAAAAATGGATTTTCTAATCCTCTTTGTCCATTAATATTTTCATGTAAGCAGTATTCCATGTGTCTAAAAAAGTGATAATCTGTAGGCGAGAGGTCCAAAGAGCAGGGTGGATGTGGCAAAGTTTTATATCCAAGCTCTAACAGTTTTTGTGACATCATACATGAAACTTGTGACTGGGCATTGTCATGCAACAAAATGAGCCAAATATGGCTTCGTTATTATCAATTTCTGATGCATTGCATTAATTTGGTTACGATACCATTTGGTATTGATGATGGTTTCTTCAGGCTTTAAGAAGCTGTTGTGTACTAAACCAAATGAAGCCCACCAAACATTAACCATCACCTTTTTCTTTTTTTGGTGAGTTAGGAGTTTTGGAAAATGTTCTGCTACTTCTCCTTCGTTGAGCTACTCTCCAGAACGGCTATTGTTATCGTAAAGTATCCATTTTTATATTTTAAGTTGTGTTATCCACAAGTAACAATTCTGGACAGAAAAGGGTCGTTTATTTTTTTCTGCAATGAAGTGTAGCACAAACTTTATAATACTGATTTTTTTGGCAGTCGTTTAATATGTGTGGAACCCAATTTTCAAGCTTTTTTACCTTTCCAATCGCCTGGAATTGGTCATCGACAGTCGATTTGCTAAGGTTAACTTGTAAGGTTTTCTTGCAAGTTCTCGAACAGTTGTTCTGGGGTTTTCTTTTACCAAAGCCTGCAGAACATTGTCATCAAGAGAGGAAGGGCAGTGTACTCATTAATGCTGCTCTCGCCCCAGACTTAATTGATGTTTCTGGACATCTGAGCCCCATTCTGGTCGAGTTTCTTAAAACAAAATCATACGAAAATCACGCATTGATATCTTAGTAAAGCCTGAATTATTTCTAAGCAGCGAAATGCTAGGTAGGTAAACAAACAAGTAATAGTTTGGAAGAGGATTAATAAGTGTTGACATTCATACAAATGAATAATCTAGTAAACGTAAACAATTTATTATATAGAGGATTTTAAAGAAAACTCAAAATCCTGCGTTATTTTCTGGACAACCCATTAATAGTTCTTTTCTCAGTTGTACAACTCGTTTGGAATTAAACAAACTGAAGTAGTCTGTGTATTGTTATGTTATACGACAAACAAAATTTGTTTAGAATATTTCTCTTAAGGTAAATAAATCTAGTGACAAAAACATAAAAGAGATTTGATTATTATTATAAGAATTATTATATCAATCCATTTCTTTTTTATATAATCAGTTTCAGAAGTTCCTGGTAAGCGATACTGTTCGTCTTTTGGAAATTTGTAATAATCTTCCTGTAGAGTTACTTTTATGATTCCTTTAATAAATTTACAGTAGACTCTCGCTTAACCGGCGCTAGCGGTAAAAGACAAAAAAGTTTTTAACATCATCAAAAGCACTTATAACTTTATGGGGTTCTCAACCACTGGTTATAAATTTAATTATTGTTATCTTGCCATTAGATAGATTTTAAATAGATCGAAATGTATACAGAAAGTGTTTTTGTTTTTTTTACAACTGACCGAACCTCAATAAAACAAATCTATTTGAAGTAAAATTGATTCTTGAAACAAAATCCTTATCCTTCATTTATTTCATAAAAAAATAAATTAAGAAATACTGCGTAATTACCGACACAGTATTGTTTAGAAGGTATTCAGTTCGGTAAAACAATAATAAAAAAAATAACTGATTTGTGAATAACTGACAAGATCATTAGTAGAAATTTTTGTAAATCGTTAACTTGAATTGATCAAAAAATTCTTGAATTAATATGTATATATTAATTAATGATTAAGTTGTGTATTTTATTTTATGCCCTCCATATTAACTGCCTCTCCCACTTGACTGGCGATGTCTCGTTCTGATGAGGATGGATAAGTGGGAGTCTACTATATTAGAAAAATTTACCTCAATCACTCATCAAATCTTTGACCGCTAGTATTCTCTAGTGTTTTCTTTTGTTCATCGTACTTAAAATTATTTGATCATTTTTTTCTTAAAACTATGACTTTAAGATCCAACAGATCTTGGTTTAACAGCTCGGTTTATACAAGTCTTGGTGTGTAAGGCCCATTTAAGAGTTCTTTTATTCTATTTATTAGGAAATTGTAACAAGAGTTGAACAATTTTCTAATTACTTCCAATTCTCTAAGCCTTATATAAATATATAGTTTGATTTTAAGTACTACATTGAATCTCAGAGAAAATTTACAACAAAATGATTTTGAGAACTTTTGGCTGAAAGTTCAGGGAATAAGTCTGGTGGTTTAGCATGAGAACTGTTGGTAATAATTCCTTTTCCGAGCTTTGGTCCAAAAATTGTATTATGAACTGTCTCTTAGCAATTATTAAATATTTCAGAATGTCATCATTCATAAAGCTTTTGTCAAAGTATTCTTTGGATTCAATATTTTCCAGGTAAACACTTAAAATAATTAACCTAGTCAATTCCATTTATATGTTTGATAGAGGAGATAAATATGCTATGAACAGATAAGAATAAAAAAAAACTGAGAAAACGCTTCTTTTCAATTGTGGCACAAGTTTTCCAAAATGCTATAAAAAAATTTCATTCCTTCGCTACTGGTTTACTGATTATTTATAATTTACTGATAACTCATATTTTATGTCAATTAAAAGTAAATATTTATGTTATCGTAAGACACTACAAATCCGGGATTTATTAAAACAATTTTAATCGGTGATGTTAAATCTCTTCAATTAAACAATTCTTATTTATCAGATGAGCTTAACAGGACTTAAATATTTTTTTTTATTTTTCAAAATTTATAAATATGGAGATTTATGGTTTTATAAAACCGTGCCCACAGTTCTTTGATCGAAACATGGAATCTCATGTTATTTTTATTAATTTTGTTAAGCGAGATAGTAAGTACTCTTAGATTGCTTAGCGTTGTAACTGTTTACGGCTAACAGAATTGGAAGGAAAGAATTATTTGCTAGTAATAATATTAAAATATTTCAGGTCCAAGTTATATATTTTGTTGAATCGAATAGAATATTGCATGTTTGAGAATAAACTGGGTATTATATATTGTCGGTCCAAAAACAAAATCATGAATATGAAAAAATAATTTAAATTTGCAACTAAAATGCTGCAATTGTTATATCTTTGATTTTTTAATGCTAAAATAAATTTTAAACATTTTTTTTCTCAAATTTAGGAGTTTCTAGATTTGTCGTTTTGGTTTTGGAACAATGATATAAACTCAGTCTAATCGATTTATTATATTATGATATATTATTTATATATTTATTTCCTTTCATACATTTCTGTTTGAAGGCATGTAATATTCTATTCTGTTTTGTATTGTTTTATTTTATTAAATTTTATAATTGCCAAAATATTTAGGGTAATTTTATTGTTTAGTTTTTTTGTTTTTTTTTATTACTTTTGAGATATGTTCTTGCATACACATATTTATCATTGCTATACTTTTATATATTTCATTAGGATATATATTTGTCATAGTTTGACTTCACTGTTTTATGAATCACTGGAAGTTAAATTTCTTGGGTAGGATTTTTTTTTTCTTTATATATATTTTATGGAGTTATACAACCTCTTTAAAGAAAATTTTAATTCATTGGCATATCATTCATTTTGTAAGATTATATATTATTTCTATTAATGAAAAGTTTTTTAATTCATTTTTATTAATGAATATATAAGTGAACGATTTGCCATGAAATTAGTTTTTTTTTTTTAAATTAAGACGAATACGAAATGGTATTGTAGGAATGGAGGTGACCAAGTTGAAAAAGAAGTGACCAACTTCTTAAAACAGATCTGTATTATTAGATCTGGTGATGAAACCGTTGTCAATGGCTGAGAAGGGCCGAAATTTGTGTTTGCGTTTGTGTGTGTTGTTTTTTTTTTTGTCGGTTTGGAGGACAC